GTCACATTCCTGAGTTTGTTTATTTTATGCATTTATGTTCAATGTTTCTATCTCTCCATTTTTATAAAATTATACTCAAGCTGGCTAATAAATTAGAAACAACAAAATTAGAAACAATAAAGCCAAAATCATCAACAGTAAAAACCACAATCTTGCAACATTAGCAGTCAGAGACCCAGTGTAAAAGACAACAGCAAAAAATGCACGCTGAAAAAGGGTAAGTTGAAGCTGCCTGCTGAAAGGTAAGCAGTGATGGGCCTAGCTGAACCTCTAGACTGTTCCCTGGTATCCACTTGTCATACGAGAAAAAACTTAGGTGTCCAGAACTGCTCCTTGCACACACCCTGGATTAACTAGAGCATTTGTGAGCTTTGCCAGATGTGACTGGTGTTCCGCAGATGCTTCAGAGATGGATTAGCTGGGAGATGTGTGCATTACAACTGGAGAGGTTGGAGAGGGTGCCCTTTTTTGTGTGCACACATGGATCTGTGGCTTTCACAGATGCGTAAGAATGCAGGACTTTCCCAACCTGATGTTTCCCTTGCATGGCATGGTTTCTAAACCAGCCAAGGCCACAGGGAGCCATTGTCTTCTGGTTGCTCTCTGCTGTGTAACTTAACCAATGCCACCTCCTGGTCCCATTCCCACCACCACCAGAAAAATTTGCAGGAATCTTTCCCCAAGAGACATCTCTAGATGAGACACAAAACCCTGTTCAACTGAGGCGCCCACCTTCTGCCAGCCCAAAGCACCAGCTAGCATTTATGGAGCACCAGCAGAGTACCAAGAGATCATAAGAGCATGAGAACAGCCCGTTGGATCAGGCCACACATCTAGCTCACCATCTGGTTCTCACAGTGGCCAACCAGGTGTCTCAAATGGAAGCCCACAAGCAGCAGCTGAGCACAAAAGTGCTCTCCCCTCCTGGATTTTCCAGCAACTAGTATTCAGGTACATAGTTGTCTCCAACTGTGGAAGCAGAGCATAGCCATCATGGCTGGTAGCTATCAGTAGCCCACTCCCCCATGAATTGGTCAAATCCACTTCTAAAGCCATCTAGGTTGATGACCAGCACACCCTCCTGTGGAAGTGAGTTCTACTGATTAACTATGTACTGTGTGAAAAAGGTGGATTAAGCAGGCCAGCTCAGAGGACCTAGTGTGCATATGGAGCTAGTCCCTGTGTGCAGCTTATAAGTGCAAGGAACCTACATGTATGCATTAGAGAACATGTAGCTAATTACAGTGGTACCTCGGGTTAAGTACTTAATTCGTTCTGGAGGTCTGTACTTAACCTGAAACTGTTCTTAACCTGAAGCACCACTTTAGCTAATGGGGCCTCCTGCTGCTGCTGCGCCGCCGGAGCACAATTTCTGTTCTTATCCTGAAGCAAAGTTCTTAACCTGAAGCACTATTTCTGGGTTAGCGGTGTGTGTAACCTGAAGCGTATGTAACCTGAAGCGTATGTAACCCGAGGTAACACTGTATAGAAAATTGCAGGTGAAGGTATGGAACCAGAAATAAGTGATTGCTCAAAGTATATTTTAGGTACAAAAGCTTGGCCTTACTGAAGCATGCATTTAGGACAAGCCTTCACAATTATTACACAATGTGTAATAAGCCAAAGGCAATGCCCCAAGCATGGACTGTAAGCGACCTAATAGCTAACAAGCCTGCTATTTTGCAGTCCTAGAAGACAGAAAAAATAGGTTTGTTCAGTCCCTGGAGGACCACCATACATGAAAGGTGACTGCACGCAGATCAGTGTTCATTAGCTGAGCAACCTTTAAGGTGGATTTGAAGCAACCAGAGAGATACTGTATACGTTTATATCAGGCTGAAGTAGGGCTACTTTTAAAACCAGAAGCTTTTCCTTTAGGGATAGTTAATACAGAAATTCCGAACGACCTTAGAAATTTGTGTATGCTACAACCACAGCCAGAATGGTATTTGCTCGGAGATGGAAAGAGGATGCTGTTCCAACCAAGGAAGAATGGCTGATTAAATTGATGGATTATGTCGAAATGGCAAAATTAACAGGTGTGGTAAGAAACCAAGAGGAAAGCTAATTTACTAAAGAGTGGGGAACATTTGTGATATATTTCAAAAATCGTGGCATGCAAGTAAGTGCATTAGTAAGTAGGGTCAACTTAAATCAAGAAGTTAAGAGTATTATCAAGATTAACTGTAGAATAATTTAAAAATGGAGCAAAGTGGAAAATGCAGTGTTAAAAATTTAAATAAGATAAGAAACCAGAAAAGGGAGGATGGAAGTCTAATATGTATTGGAAATATGTGATTGTAAGGTGTATATTTGTAAATTTTCAAAAACTGAAAATAAAATTTACAAACTCAAAAAAGAAAAAAGTAGGGCTACTTTTGTTCTTGGGGGAGGGGGGAGCTAGTGCTGAATCTTTCTAGTCATTAATTGTTTGTTGTTGTTGTTGTTACCTGCTCAGTTGCTTCCCCTACTCCCCATCTGTTCCTATTCACCACACATTGCCAATACAACTTCAGATACACAATGGCCAGAGCACAGTTCATAGTGTCTATCAGTGGATACTTCTGAAAACTGCCTCCTCCTTCTGTGTGACATGTTGTTTTTATGTTATTTAAAGCCCCACTTACTGCACAGATCTTAGCTGTCACTATAGCTCTCCATAAAAAAAATATGGAGCAGGACTGTGGAGTTCAATGTAAAATTATCTAACTTCCATGCAGTAAGTCCTATACATGTCATGGACCAGGATCACTCACCACAGAGAGGCTGACTCCAGTAGTCAACTATACCTAGGTTGGGCCATTTGTTATGCAACCAAGACGCTGAGTTTCAAAGAAATGATAATGATGACAGGCAGGTCAGATATTGGTATTGGAACTAGATGGACTTGGCCTCTCAACATTTGCCTAGGTCCATATCTGGTTTCTGAACTGTTGCTAGTGACTACCCAAACATGTCTAACCTGTTTTCTGATTACAAGTCTAGAGCCTTGTTTTTATTAAAGGCAAACTGGACATCCCAAACATAACTAGGATAACTATGTGTCTAGGGCTATTGCTTATATATTTATATTTGCCCAGAGTGGCTTGGGCAACCCAGTCAGATGAGCGGGGTACAAATAAAACAATAACAACAACAATTTTGTTTCTATTAGACAAACTGATATTTTTACAAGTCTCCTATGTACACCTATCCTTGTAATGAAGGCCACAGAAATTACTGGCTCAGGAAATTTTAAATAGCCTGATTTAGTTGTTTGTGATGTTTTGATGTCTTGAGAGGGGCAGAGGGAGAAAAAAACTTAGACACCACGAAAATGGCTACTTACAAGTCAGCAATTATCAATGTGAACTCAGATAAGAAAACCATGTGAAAGCATATATTCACCCTCCTCAGTTATAAATCTCTACCCTTTGGAGAAGTTACACAATATTTAAGATATAAGGAGACTATAAAACTCGCAATTTTATGTGTTGGCACAATTAGCTAAATACAGCAAACATTTTCATCTGTTTATCTTAAGACACACATACTTAATTATGTTCCCTTTCTCAGCTATCTTTTTTCAAACCTCCTCCACCTTGTGACCATTCTCTCATCTTTAATTGTTCTCCCTTCATCTCAGCAAATTGGCCTCCTTCTAAAACTAGTTGTTTGTTTAGATGACATTAATAAATAAGGTTTAAATCCAGTGAGGTTGCTGGATGGGGACTCTGATCTTGAAAGTCCCATTTCAAATGCCACAGAAAAGTGTCAAATGTATATAATGCTGGAGTCAACAAGGCCAATTAAGGCAGGTTTCTTCTAATTAAAGAGCACAGATTGAAATGCATAGATCAGTTATGCTGTACTGCTTTGATTTCAGCTGATTAATTTTCAATTAATTTGATAAGATTAATTAAGTCAGTCCAAGAATTTCTGCTTAAATAGTTTGAGTATTGGTGCACTGGTTTAATTTGACTCACTGGGACCAAGACATTTTAAAGGCAAACACACAGGTTTTAGTGCAAACTAAGATAAACAGATTATCAGTGCATGAAATCACTTGCTGCCTAGGCTAGAAAATATTATTAGAGTATTTTTCAAATAACCTATGAGTCTTAGGACTCAAAAGGCTTTAAAAAAGAAGAAGAAGAAGACATAGGATTGTATCTGACTCAAGAGTACACCCATTGAAACCAAATGACTTAAATTAGTTATGTTCATTAATTTCACTGAGAGCCAGTGTGGTGTAGTGGTTAAGAGCGGTAGTCACGTAATCTGGGCAACTGGGTTCGCGTCTCCGCTCCTCCACATGCAGCTGCTGGGTGACCTTGGGCCAGTCATACTTCTTTGAAGTCTCTCAGCCCCACTCACCTCACAGAGTGTTTGTTGTGGGGGAGGAAGGGAAAGGAGATTGTGAGCCGCTTTGAGACTCCTGAAGGGGAGTGAAAGGCGGGATATCAAATCCAAACTCTTCTTCTTCTTCTTCTTCAATAGGTCTATTCAGCATATGACATAGGCAGATAAATCCATAGTGGTAAGTTACTGATTTGTATTACTTTCAAAATGAAACTTCGCTTTGCATGGACATTTGAGAGAAGAACGTCAAATTATTTCTATACTGGTTAAACAACAAGACGTAAAGACAAATCAAATCTGTTTTACCTCCTATGTGCATGGTTTTCCCTACAAGTGACACCAGCAAAGATTAGTCTCTCACTCTCTACTCTCACATACAAACCTTGTAGAAGGGAAGGAAAGGCAGGAAAAAGCAAAAGAAGTCATCCTTAAACTCACACCAAGGCCTGAAGTCTGCTTGGAGTTGCTTTGAATTTTGTTTCCCTCCTTCCCTTAAAGATATATCTGTGATTTGCAGTTCTGCTGCTAAAAATGGCAAACAAAGAAATTCCATTTATGCTTACCTCTCAGACATACATATTGTTTGCTTTAGTTTCGTTTCTTTTTAAAACATGCTACTGTGTTGTGGGTTCATTCCACGCCTTTACCGTTGCACTTACCTGACATTGTCATGCTTCTGTATGTAAATTTTATGAAACATCATATCTTCTTTTTTGGCATTAATGTCAGCTTTCATCTCCATGGCAACATGGCGAGGAAGTACGGAGAGCAGGAGGCGCTCCTGTGGTGTTAGACAGATGAGCCAATTAACATGCCTGCTCTCTATTTAACAACACAAACACACATCTCTTCTAATCTCATATAAACAAAATGAAGCTATCAGTTCTGCAGTGAATGGGCAGAATCATGGATATTTTCCATAAAGCCAGCCTTTATCTAAGATCCTATTCCACTCAGTAATTAAGCAAGCCATAATCCATCAGATTTCTCTCCAGTTCCAATTTAACTGCCATTCATAGAAGTTAGACTCTCCAATGTTAGCAACATCAAAAGGTAGCTGTTTTAACGGAGTTGGTGGTGCACAGAATGAATGTTGACTGTGCATTGTTTGTGGCCATTCCACGAGCCCTATGTAGGCCAAAGGGAAAAATGTCATTCATGAAATTTGGCTTCATTTATTTGTTATGTAGCAGCAAATCCAATTTCTAATACACGTTTATGGCTTCAGTAACTATGAAGAATTGACAAGTGACTTGCATCCAAGTTTTGTATTTCTTGTGTCAAATGTGAAGGTTGAAGATCAGAACTCTCTACTGATACAGTGGTGCCCCGCAAGACGAATGCCTCGCAAGTCGAAAAACTCGCTAGACAAAAGGGTTTTCCGTTTTTTGAGTCGTTCCGCAAGACGAATTTCCCTATGGGCTTGCTTCGCAAGACGAAACGTGTTGCGAGTTCTTGCGAGTTTGTTTCCTTTTTCTTAAAGCCGCTAAGCGCCGCTAAGCCGTTAATAGCCGCTAAGCCGCTAATAGCCGCTAAGCTGCTAATAGCCGTGCTTCGCAAGACGAAAAAAACGCAAGACGAAGAGACTCGCGGAACGGATTAATTTCGTCTTGTGAGGCACCACTGTACTGAAATGTATGGGCATTGTCCTGCCTTCTTCTGGCTTACAGTCCCAGTGGAGGCCAGGTTAACGCTGATAAGAAAGAAGCCATATTCTAAAAAGCAGGGTCACAGCAAGGCATGTCCAGTCAAATCCAGCCAGATTATGGGCTGGGTAATTTGTCAGCACCCTGGAGAACTCACACCAGCCAATGCTTGCTAGGACTCACTTAGGAAGAGCTGTTGTCTCAGCAACAGGCTGAAGCCTTCTGAAGACTCCTATTAGTCCAGTCATCCCTGAGGTGCTGTGTATTCTTTTAAGGACCACTGCCCTGTTCTGCAACTGCTGGCTCCTATGGCTTGGAGGCAGTGAAGAAAGAACTAGTGTCCTCGGCGATGAAGAAGTCCAGTAAACCCACATTATCTTTCACTCTGAGTCTGCCTCTGAGCTAGATAGGGAATTGTGGCCAAATAATATAAGAAGCACCATCTCGCTACTGGAAACTCGTGTACTTTGCTGCTTTGCACATTACAACAAAAGCATGAAGATAATCTTCTCCATTGCACTACACTACAATTGTTCATAAAGTGTGCATCTGGGAAATTTTATGGGCCCAAAGTACATGTGTTTAAAGATGCATAAACATGCATGGATGCCTTTCACATTTTAACCGTTTGCTGTGGAAAACACCAGTTTCATATTCTCAGTAGTGCATTTTCTCAGTCCCTATATGAGACCCAAACAACCAGAGCAGAAAGATAGCAAAGTAACACATTTTACTCAGAATATTAAAAAAGCACTAAAATCTTTATTGTGTACACTAGAACCAAAAGGGTTCAAAAGGTGACATATGAATCACTGACATCTCAGTTTCAGAAGTAATTATTGCATACTGGTGAGTCTCTAAAATGAATTCCAAAGGCTTGTAGCCAACTAAATTCTATTCAGAGTGGACCCATTGAAATTAATGAATCTAAATTAGTCATGTTCATTGACTTCAATGGGTCTACTTTAAGTAGGACTAGGATTAGATGCAACCCCAAGTTTTTTTTATTTATTTATTTATTTATTTATTTATTTATTTACGGCTATTAGCCCATATCAACCCCAAGTTACTTTTCTGTATTTACATTAGATGGAGTTGGGCAGCTGGGTACAGGATAACAAAACATGCATCTATGCAATGTGGGTGGAATCAGACTTAATTTCTGTCTATAGATGTATCATCAGTCCTCTTTAGATTATTGACAATTTCCTACATGCATCTTAAAGATGCTCTCAAATTAACTAGATTGCTCACAGACACTCTATCGTGAGCCACACTTACAGAAGAATGCTACTAATTAAAGCTGATGAAGTAAATTAAAGTTCTGTGATAAGACTGGAACCAGGAACACAGTTTTGGCAAACTACTCAGTGCTACAAATCAAAATGTTCTCAGGAGTAGGATATTTTCTCAGCTCATGATGGTTACCTCCCTCACCCCACAGACCACCTACTGATTTCTCCTAACCTGATAGATATATTAAAGCTTTTTGGGTCAGACTTGGGCTTTGCCTGAGCAACGATCACAGCTGAACCTTGGAGATCATCATAGTCCTGGGAACTTTTCTCCTGCAGCCACAAACGGCATCAAAAGCCAGGTCTCTATCAAATCACAACTTCAATCAGAATTACTTGAACATTCTGTATTCTTCCTATGCAAGACCTATATTGCCACACAAAAAGCCCGGAAATTTGTTCACCACAAAAATATATAAAACAAAATAAGATAATCAAGCTAAAAAAACCCTCATCCTTGAATGTATTATCATTATCATTTTTCTTTTACCTGTTGCTGGTTTTCTCTCTGAGAATGTAGACGAGCTTGAATGCATTCCCTGGTCTCTTGAAATGCCTGTCTCTGGGACACCTCAGCAGGATAGTGTGTACACACACCTACAATGTTCGTGCAGATGAAGATGAGGATGTTGGACACCAGCTGCATAAGAAATAGTGGAAGGAAAGAAAGACAGAACTGGTTACAGTCCAGAAACCAGGGTAAGAATAGCACCAGATCCAAGGCCAGAATGCCCTCTTCTGAACCATATATGTAATCATTGTCTTCTGCTCCGAGCAAATTATCTTTATGGAAGTCAATAGCTGCAGAAAGAGTAGCAATATTTATCCTCTGGTCCTGCTTACAGAAGAGGTCACATAGGCAGCCAGACACAGGATATTTTCCTGCTGTTTTGGTTAACAGATTTGAAGATACCTCTTGCTTTGCTTTAAAATATGGTCATACACACGGCAATAGCCATCAGCATCTGAGTTCTGGAAAGTTTTAAAGAATCCCATTAGGGAGATGAATAAGCACCTAACTCAGAGATGGGCAAATATCCCAGTCTTTCCACAAAGAAGTCCACTTTTGATTATGTACTCTAATCACACCTCATTTCAGTAATGTAATTTAAGGTAGTGACAGGTACAGGGATCATTTTGTGCAGCTGTTGTTTTGGACTCCAAAACCCTTGCCAATCTAGTGCAAATCACTCAGAGATCTAACGTAAGATTTATATCTTTTTTTTCTGCCCGACCCTAACTTAGTCTACTGACAGGCATACATATATAACTACAGTGGTACCTCGGGTTAAGTACTTAATTCGTTCCGGAGGTCCGTTCTTAACCTGAAACTGTTCTTAACCTGAAGCACCACTTCAGGTAATGGGGCCTCCTGCTGCCGCCGCGCTGCTGGAGCACGATTTCTGTTCTCATCCTGAAGCAAAGTTCTTAACTCAAGGTACTATTTCTGGGGCAGCGGAGTCTGTAACCTAAAGCGTATGTAACCTGAAGCATGTGTAACCCGAGGTACCACTGTACACTAAAATTTGATGCCATAGTCTATACTTAATGGCTAATCTAAGCCTGAAGAAAAATCAGGGAAAAATAAAGCTAGTGTGACAGTTTGGAGGAACTGATTGGTTTCTGATCAGCAGACCATGGTGATTCTTGCACACATATCTCAAAAATCCTTGGGAGTTGTTATATCACTTATCCCCTACCTCTCCAAACCCAATGAGATGTTTAGGCAAAGTTTAAGTAATTTAAAGGGGCTAGTATGTTAAGAACAGTAATGAGGAACCTTCCAGATGCTGTTGGATTCCAATTCTCATCAACTCCTTTCTTTAAAAGTAGAGCAGCAGGTGTCTCTTCCCAAGTTACTGGTACTTCAATAATATTTCCCTCAAAACTGGTTTACAGCCTGAGAGCCAGCACATTAACTACTAAATCAGTTGTGATGTTTGACTGCCCTCTTTGCACATCTGCAAACCAAAAGTGGCTCCAGATGACAGAAAAGTGTTTGCATATAGGGCTGCAGGTAGTTAAGATAGGGGAAAGCAAGCAGATTCGGCTCCTGCATACCATTTTTGCTTTTAAAGGTCAGATCTCAGGCTCAGGCAACAACTTGTAGCTCTGCAATATAATTTCCTCTGCCCACAAATCTGCTCTAGAGGATTGCGGGGATGGAACCTAGAGCAGCTTTAGGGGGTGCTATGTGGCAGATGATGTGTGTATATTCATGTGGTTTTGCAATGAGTGTTTTTTTTAATGCTTCTGTTTTGGTTTTTAATACAGTGGTACCTCGGGTTACTGGGACGCGGGTGGCGCTCTGGGTTAAACCACAGAGCCTAGGACTTGCCGATCAGAAGGTTGGCGGTTCAAATCCCCGCGATGGGGTGAGCTCCTGTTGCTCAGTCCCTGCTCCTGCCAACCTAGAATTTCGAAACTATGTCAAAGTGCAAGTAGATAAATAGGTACCGCTATGGCAGGAAGGTTAACGGCGTTTCCGTGCGCTGCTCTGGTTTGCCAGAAGCAGCTTAGTCATGCTGGCCACATGACCCGGAAGCTGTACGCCGGCTCCCTCGGCCAATAAAGCGAGATGAGCGCTGCAATCCCAGAGTCGGTCACGACTGGACCTAATGGTCAGGGGTCACTTTACCTTTTTACCTCAGGTTAAGTACTTAATTCGTTCTGGAGGTTTGTTCTTAACCTGAAACTATTCTTAACCTGAAGCACCACTTTAGCCAATGGGGCCTCCTGCTGCCGCTGGGCTGCCGGAGCATGATTTCTGTTCTCATTCTGAAGCAAAGTTCTTAACCCAAGGTACTATTTCTGGGTTAGCAGAGTCTGTAACCTGAAGCATATGTAACCTGAAGCGTATGTAACCCAAGGTAGTACTGTATACCTCATACAGCAAGTTGACTAGGGAAAATGGGGGTACCGTAGTTAGGCAGTTCTGGGGAGTCCTGGAAATCACTTATAAGGGAATATGGAACATTGGGAAAGTGACAGTCGGGGGGTGGGGGCAGTTGGGCCAGGAAAGGAGAAGAGAATGGTGGGCTGTTGAGGAAGAAAGGGTTGTTTTGAGTTTGTGAAGCAGTACACCTGGTGAGGGGAGCCTGCATTCAAGTTCTGGCTGTGGCTGTTACAGATAGATGCAGAAAAATGCAGTGACAAGGGACAGAATGGTTGTAAGATGAAACACCCAGGTGAAACTGCACCATCATTTGAGACTGGGGGGGCGGGGCGGGCGGCCCTCAAGCTGGGGGAAAGGACCACAGTGTTAGTTCATTTTACCAGAAAGGATACCGACTTGTTAAGGGCATTTTATGCTAGAGAAAGTTATACCTTCCTTCAATCAAAATTGTTTTAACAAAGGGGTTTGTGTAGGCTTCCAAACTCCTTTCTCAGATTTTGAAATTTTGATTGTGGTCTTCTACCTATTGCACTATGTTTAACATAGACTAGTTTCTTGAAGGCAAAGTGCCTCTGCTTAAAAGTGTTTTATTTCAATGTTCCTTGGCAGAACCTTAGAAGGACATTCAACCTACCGAGTTGCCCTTTTAACATATCCTTAGACATGTATTTCTTTAGAATGCCATTACCACACTGGCACTTCATTAGAACACTTTAATCTTGGCCTGTTAACGTTCAGATGCCTTCAATTATTGTGCCCGACTGAATAAACGTTTCAACATTCGTGGAATCTGCGATGAGCTCAGAATTTTATAAAATATATGATGGATGACTATAATTATTAGCACTTACTGATATTTGCATATATGGCATGAGAGCTGAAAATAGGATAGCCTTTCTTTTTCCTTCCCTCGTATTTCAAAGTCGCGCTTCAACTTCTTTGACAGAAAGGCTTTTAATTTCATTCCAAATACTCCCACTCCCAGAAACATGCTTTCTTGGTGAGATTCAGCTGTTAGATCACAGCAAAATATTATTTCCAGGCAAATGAGCTATGGAATTTATATCCCATCTATTCACAAATTTGATCTTCAAAGTGGCTCACATATATCACTAAAACAGTATAAATCAGTTGGTTACTTGGAATAGCTACATTTGTTCTGCATTTTACAGAAACAGAAACTCAAAGGCAATATTTCAAAGTACATTAAAACAATATATAAAGATATGAAGGGGAAAATTAGGAATAAATATACAAATTTCATGCCCATTTTATGTCTGACCAATTATCTGTCTTAAGTTAAGAAACTTTATCTGTAATCATTGCAAGACTTAAAGACTGGGAATACATGTCACACTAAGCCAAATCACGGTTTAGCAGGCCTATGTGAGTAAGTGGACTCCTAGAGAAGAACTGCTTTGCTTCACCGTAGTCTTTTTGCTACAAACCAATGTTTTTGCACAGTAAGCCAAAGTTTTGCTTAGTGTTTTGTTTAAACACACAGCTCATAGTTAGTCTGGAGACAGTTTGTTCCAAAGGCTTTTCAGATGTGCAAGTGGCTGATCTGAATTTTATAAAATCCAAGATGTAAAGGTAGAATTGTATGGATGGATAGATTTGAATATTACAAAGCAAAGAAAGAAGCGTATTTTTAAAATTGTTAATACTGTAGTTTAAAATTAATTTATGCTATTTCAGTAATGTAACAATATAATAGGGACACGGGTGGCACTGTGGTGTAAACCACTGAGACTTGGGCTTGCCGATCGGAAGGTCGGCGGTTCGAATCCCTGCGACAGGGTGAGCACCTGTTGGTCGGTCCCAGCTCCTGCCAGCCTAGCAGTTCGAAAGCACGACAAAAAGTGCAAGTAGATAAACAGGTACCGCACCAGCGGGAAGGTAAATGGCGTTTCCGAGCGCTGCTTTGGTTTGCCAGAAGCTGGCCACATGACCCAGAAAAACCATCTGCAGACAAGATTTAAAGAGTGGGAATAATTTTAAAGCATGATAGGAAATGATCTCATGCTCAGCATGGGATACATCTATTCAAACCACGTTATATCCAGTGATTTTGATTTTAATCCAGTGATTTGAGTTTGACTTAAATGAATATCATCTTCTTTGTATTATTATTATTATTATTATTATTATTATTATTATTATTATTGTTGTTGTTGTTGTTGTTATTATTATATACAACAGTGCTGATATTCTAAGCCAAATAAATTGACTAACATCTAAAAAAACAAAAAAATTGTTTTCTGATGATACAATTTACCTTAAGTAAATTATTTACATATTAGGTGTTGATGTTCCGCCTAATATGTAAATTCTGGACGAAAGTTAAGATGGTTAGTAAGAGAATGATCAATAACAAAATATTGCTAGATGCTAAAATAATGTACTAAAATTCACTCAGCAGATCATATCAAAAACACACCACCCATTCATTTCAAACCTTTTATTTGCTTCAATATTTGTAATAGCAAAGAGAGAGAAATACTAAACCATGTATATGTAAAGAAATTTGGCAATTACTGAAGCTCAGTTGCCTAAGCAAACAAAAACGTAAGCTTAAAGAAGAGAAGTCAGCACAAATAAAAATTACTATAGAGTAGTGTCCTTTTACTAATTATAGGAAGAGAAAAATCATAGTATCAATGTCATATAAGGGTGGGGTTTTTTGCCTCAAAGTTTTATCTTTTTATTATTTTTGTATAATAATAAATGTAAAACAGTTTTAA